GGAGAAAACACCCATAGCCGACTGTGTCCGCTAGTCTGTCGCAGGAAAACTAACGTGGCCTAGTGTCACGTGACAAGATCTATAACTGTAGGTAACCTAAAACTTGCGGCAGGTGAGGGTCGCAACGATGATCTGGAGCAATAACTGTCAACGGTATTCTTTACAAGGTGTTGTCTTACTACAGTGGCGATCGTTCGCTGATGAATGATGTCTGGAGCAAAATCGATATTGGATGGAAATGTCTAAGGCAAGAGAACAAGAGATAGCCAACGATATCCGTGAAAGGTTGAAAGAGTTATGGACAAACACCGGTCTGGGAGAGGGTACGAAAAGACAAGAGACAGAGAGTATTGAAGATCCATTGCAACCAACCTGCATTGTGACGACGGCACCTGATTGATTGAAATATGGAATAAAGAACATTTTCTTTAATGCTAAAGAAGATCGAGGAGGGTTGCATACGAAGACAATGGATGGAGTCCCTGATAAAAATCAGTTTCATATTTGTTCCTGGTCATTCTGGTGTAAAGGCCAATGAACGAGCTGACAGACTTGCATGTAATGCTCACGTGGGAAACGAACAAACAATGGACAGTGCCGATATACTGGACGCCCTCAGAGAGGCGGCTCAACTAAACGAATCAAGTAATGATTGTGAATCTGTAACACTGACGAGACTACATGAACATAACATCAAAAAGGGTGAAGCCAGACAAAAGCGCGACACTGGGGCCCAAAGAGAATAGTAAATCAACACAGGTATCATAAGCCACTAAACGCTGAGGGAGATATTGAAGAAGGGATTTAAGTACTTATGGACTGAATGGTTAGACTAACTGACTATAAAGGACATTTCCCGCAAGCTTTCAGACATGCCGGGTATATGATGTTAGCCCAGACTCGTATACACCAATCGATGAGTGGTGTGATCGATATAGCAGCAGCCGTAATGATTTCACTCAACGTTTTATTCTGTATGCATTGTCCTATTATGCCATTATATTTCGCGTAGATCTGACAGTCTGTTTACCCATTCCGTTGTATCCTGTAGTCACCTTGATATCATGGATGGAGTCGTGCCCAGCAGCTTTAGCTTCTCTCATTAGTGTTCGCCTGATTATGTCCTCGTGTCTGTAATTCTTTTAGTTCATATTTCAGTGCCTGTTTGTTGAATCTCTGTTCGTTTCTTCCAAGAACGTATTCAGTCTAGCTCCATCTTCTGTGTATTAGAACTGTTGATACTAGTGATTGCCCAAACATTTTTTCCTAATTCTTCAGCCCCTGTGATTACATTCTATTGTACATTCATCTGTTCAGAATGAAAGTAGAACATTCAATGATGCTTATTAAAGATGACACGATCTGCGATCCTCGTTTTAAACAATGGAGGTTATTCTATTGTATATTATAATGGTTTTAGCATCAAATCCAGCAGTGAAGAGCAAGAAAAACTGTCCGCCATAGTTGACAGCTGATGAACACTAAGAGGGAAGGAAAGGATCTGAGCCGTTGACCACTGCGTCTGTAGTCCCGCCATCTAGCCACCGTGTTGTTCATGAGGCCTATCCTTGTCGGGAAGTAGTTTTGGGATATTCTCCCATCTGCTTGTGTCATGTCTCGATCAGATATGACTGGGCTACCGTATAACGAAGTCGGTACCGCTTGTTCTCTGTTAACCCCGAATGTTGGACTTAAAATATCACAACCAGGCACCTTAGAGAATCATTACTCTTCTTATTTAGAAAGGAATAGAAGGAGGCAGACACGATCTGAGTGGTTTCCCTTTTTCAACTGTAATGCTATAAATGGGTCAGTTCAGACGCAATTGGTTTGCAGCTGGCCCGGAATAAACAGGGTGAAACGTCCCAAGGCAAGGTCATATCATTCACACATTTTAAGAATTCTCTTTCACAAGCAGTAATTTTGAATCGAAATTTAAATTTAAATTGTGTCCCTTACGTGATTGCTTCTTTGTGTCCTATTCCGTCTTACGCTCAAAAACATTTATTTTTGAGTAAAATATACATGCATAAACAATTATATGGCCATAAACATGTCTTTTAAATTTGATCAGATTGTCAATATTATCAATACGATAATCATCAGCGTCATTATTCGCTGGTTCCTCAGGTCTAACCATCAAGCCCAGAAGTCCGTGCACGTCAGCCTCAGTGCATGTAACGATTATACTGTCCAGACACTCCAAGCTGGTCCTTGCTGCCTACCAAACAACTAGGGAGGGAGGATGCCAACATGAACTCAGCTAAATTCGGCTATCAGTAACGTATCACCCCAAAATCACTCAATTCCTGTGCAAGTGAAAACCATAGTGGCACATGTATCAAATGCATAAGGCAACCACCAGAAGTGCCAGAACCTACATATGTCGCTATAATTGGTATCTATAGCTGATGGAAGCAGCAGTTGCGACAAACGTGCTGGTACACATGCATTGCTGCATAAGAACACGGCCAAATCTGGCAACCATCCACTGGCCATTTTATGAATATGCAGTTTTCAACACACATTTACACGAGCACAGACACACGGCATTCCCTATGACATTCTTAGTTTAAGATGTCGCACCACGAACTCAACTCAGCAGATGGTGATAAAAGCGGATTTCTATTTTACCTCCTCTGTTGTTCCCATAGTTTCCCACTTAGGGGTTGAAACTCCAACATCCCACTGATTTCTGGTACAAATAGGGTCCACCACATGGTGTAAGGTAGGCTTGATTTAGGTAGGCTATGGGCAGGGATTACTCATTAGGCACACCAAGTACCTGCTTATGATTTCACAAAGGGGAAGGGGTACCACATATATTTTCAATGCCTCGGAAACGACGGTTATTTTTTTTAATTACAATTGAAGTACCTTGGAGCTGAGCGGGTTTTCCCTCTCGCTTGAAGTATATCAACATTTAAAACTCACGTCAGAACTACTGTTATCATATAAGTCGCAATTAGGCAATATGTTTATGCAACTACTCAGTTGCCATTTACCATTCAGTGTTCAAACGCAAATTTCTCGAAACAAGGAAACAAGTGCCAGAGATATAACTTGGTTATAGGTTGATCGGCGTTTCTTGGATTTGCTTCTGCTGGATTCTCATCCTTGTAGTTTCTCTTTGAGTCACTGGGTGTTAATCTTTCAGACTGCAATCCTAGAATGGACGGGGGAGGGTTACAAACATTAACATCTTGAAGAATATCTTCATGGGATTTTACCAGAGACTAATGAAAGACACAAACTTATTGGAACAGTTAAACAGTAAATATTATGAGAAGAGACAGACTCAAGAATTTGGTATTATCTGGAAATATTGATGGAAAGAAAGCAAGACGAGGGCAAAGAGATAAATACCTGGATGGTCTGATCAGACGGATGGGGCCAGACAAAAGCATTGAACAGATCCGTGAGACTAGTGATCGTTTGAGGTGGCGAAACATGATAGCTCACACTTACCGGCACAGCACATGATGATGATAAGAATATCTTTGTTTTATTCTGATCCACTGTATTACACATGTGTATGGCCTTCATCTACTTTCTGAATGTGTGTGTTTTTTTTTTTTTAAATCTCTGCTTGTTATTCCGGCTGCCCTCTTAAAATTCTTATCTCTGTTATGATGTTGCTCAGTGGTTATAGTTAGGGTTCATATTTGTTACTGTTAGTTGACCAAAAGAACAGTTCTTATTAGTTTTACCTTGGATTTATGCGCTGTGAAGAGAAACCAGAGTAGTTTTACCCTGGATTTTTGCGCTGTGAAGAGAAACCAGAGTAGTTTTACCCTGGATTTTTGCGCTGTGAAGAGAAACCAGAGTAGTTTTACCTTGGAAGACAGTCTGCACTTACCTCATCGAATTCCATACGTCCAAGAAACATATTACACATCTATATGTGTATTTTAACATGTAACACATGTGTATTAACCCTTTCATATGATAGAAAAGGTCAACAGCCTTAGTCGCTAAGCAAGATCATTATCTTGAAAACGCCAAACGTTGGTTTACCATTTGTGGTCACTGGTGGGTCCTGGGGGTCGATGCAAGGGAGACACAGATTTTACTTTTAAAGTTCTATGTTTGTGTGTGCACGCATGCGGTTTGTATGTCTGCTTTGTGCTTTACATAATGCACAGAATGATTAAAACATTACATAAATTCAGTGACATAAAGTGTTTAATTTTTCATTGCATCTATTGTAAACATTAAAACTAACTTCATCAACAGTACACAATTCTTAGATCTAGGTAGATTTTAAAAACAAGCTTAGCTACATTTTCACTGATTATTTAATTTCTCATTAAGTGGAAAATCATATCTATTGCTATCTTATACATACTCAATGCATTCATCTCTAACAGTGAGAACAAAGTACATGACACAGGGCATATGAGGGGGGCTGACACAATGAAAACATTATAGGGTGCCCCTGATTAGTGGTGGTTGGGGGGGGGGGACTCTGCACCTCTTACAGATGTTCTAGTGCAGGTGGCCTCAACGGGCATAAACCTTGTTTAAGTGCATAATACAAATAATTATGGCGACGATAAACAAAAGGGCAAATAAATATAAAACTGTTTGATACAATATGACAGCTGTAAACATATTTTTATTTTGAAGGGATTTCCTGTAAAAGGTTGGGAGAGAGTGGGCACAGTCTCCTGACAAATCTCCTTGGGTGCGGTGGGGAGAGAGGATGGGTGTTAGGCTTCTACCTCTTCTATCGAGAATGTTTCCAGCCGGAGCACGGAGAGTGCTCAGGGGCTTTAAGCCCCCAGGTTCCGGAATTCTGCAGCATCTTTAACCCTGAAGAATCTGTCTTCTCCGTTCTGGCTCTCTTGCTCAAACTGAAACACGCAATCTAAGATACATAATTACGGGGATTTAATGTCCTGTTTTGGACTAATATTCGTCTGCCTGATTGTTTGTCTAAGAGCAACAATTGCCGGGTCATTTCATTGATGAAAAGAGACGCACAGTTAACAAGCAGGTCAGAGAACATCTATAGGATCCACACAAGAGTTTGTAGTGAACCATGCGTGGATGTTGTCATAGGACTTCTGCAGGGGATCAACGTGAAGCTTCTCACACAACTTACACTGCCAGCTTGGGGAATCTCGTACAGCTTGGTACCTGCAAATGGAATCAGAACCCTTCAGCCAATCTCTTCACTGAGATGACCGGTCAACATATAAAGGTCAGGAGTCAAGATATAAAGACCTACTTGTCCCCACAGAACTGCAGGTGACACCTGGCGGCTGTAACCGTTACAGGGGCCCTAATTATAACTTCTCTGGAGGTTGAGCCTGGTATTTAGGATCTGCCTTGTCTGCCATCCACACTAAGATTCCTTTGATCTCAGGAAAGTAAAGCCTTCAGTGGAAAACCAATCTTTGGATCGATTTATGTAAACGTTGAGTTATCATCATCAAGTGCCTTGCCTACTGTTGTCTTCAATCGTATTTCCACATAACGCTATCTCCAAGAAGATGTGTTAGTTCAAAAGCTGACATTTTGCAATGTTTCAATTTTTTTAATTTTCAAGAGACTTCTATTGTATGGTCTGATTATGTTCTCATATCTCTACACGTTCATCTTTACAGATGTCATAAAGTCTTCTTCCTTTTTTATCTTCTCTTAGCATGGCCGAACAACAACGACTGTCCCATTCTTACGGTCCTTATAGTTTCTCTTAACAGTTTAAAATGGCAGATTTGCTAATGGAATATGAAACCTTATCCTGCAGAATTAACCTCGTCGGTCTGGTTGGATTGTTTTGTATGTGTGCAGGATTCACAGCTCTGTGTTAAAACTGCAGAATAGGCACCATTGCTGTGCTTTTCAATACTCATTTTTAATTCACTAGAACCCTCACGTGTGGTGGAATATGTGCACAATTCCAGCCTACCCGTTCAAACAGCACCATGTACCTCAAAATATACGTTACCCATGTGTGTAGTTCCTCCACCACGAGTGATGAAGACTTTTCATCCAAAGTAGCAATGATCAATGACTATGAGTACGAAGAAGGCTGATTAGTCCAATATGAGCCCGAAAAGTTCATGAGCAGAGCGGACAACAAATGGAGGACTCAGTAATAGTGAGATTAGCCATACTGTTCTTTCTAGTCTGCCTCCGTTTCTCTGCATGTGAAACCTCCGCTGCTTGGCAGGCCGATGCACTATGCCTGAGGGATGAGCGCAATCCAGAACGGTTTTATGCAGCAAAATCCAATGTCGCTGTGTTGATGTCAAAGGAATTGAGAGCAGTCTTGAGTGTCCTTACAGCGCTTTTTCTGTCCTCACTGGGACCTCTTCCATTGCTGGAGCTCGCCGTCAAATACTCTCTTTGGGAGGCGATAGTCGGGCATGCGAGCTAGGTGACCAGCCCAAAGCAGCTAATAATTCTTTGGAATAAATACCAAGACAACACATCGGACAGCAAGGCCTAATCTAGAAGACTAGGCACACATATAAACGAAGCATGACGGATTGATTATATTATATAGTTGTATTCTAATGTAGAAGCAACGGGCCCTTTTCTACACCTTCAGGCGTATTGGGCACATATGACTAGATCTATATTTTATAGATCATTCGGCAGCCGATGTAGTCGTCAACATCACGCCGGACACCTTTATCTCCCATGACTGTGCCTGGTACCCATTTAAGGCTGGTTTAACCAGAAAGCAAAAATGTTCTTTTTTTAAAAAGTTCTGCTACTTTAGGACATGAACTCACGACTTTCAGATCAGCAGGCGAATGTCTAATCACTACACCACGTCAGTTATAACATTCATCAACTTTTGGAGGATTGCTGAAATAACGTAAGCAATTAATTCACGGGTATTCGTTGGCGCTCATAGTGCAGAAGTATGTAGAGATTACCTAACATACAGGATAATGTAAAAATTGAAAGCTGTAGTCTGCTGTGTCGAATAATATCTACATTCCTGTACTTTAAAGAATTCCTGTTTGACCCCGCAACGAAATACTTTTTCCATTATAACACGTTTAATACCATGCAGTTGTTACTCATGACCGAGATTTGACTGTAGCTAAGATACACATGTTTAGAATTTACCTGTTCTTCTTCCTAAGGTAGGAGATGTACCTTGGTTTGTCGTTACCAAGGTCGTCAAGGTAATCAGCCAGAGCTTCCGGTGAACTGAAATCTGCCGCATCCACGAACGTACCAGGTGGGAAATAGCTCTTGTAGTCTGCACCTGCGTGTAGCATGTGGGAATCTTAGAGTGTGTAGCATGTGGGAAACTTAGACAAGCTAGCACATGAACCTGCGTGTAGCATGTGGGAATCTTAGACAAGCTGGGCATGCACCTGCGTGTAGCATGTGGGAATCTTAGACATGTGGGAATCTTAGAGCGTGTAGCATGTGGGAATCTTAGACAAGCTGGGCATGCACCTGCGTGTAGCATGTGGGAATCTTAGACAAGCTGGGCATGCACCTGCGTGTAGCATGTGGGAATCTTAGACAAGCGGGGAACTTAGAGCGTGTAGCATGTGGGAATCTTAGAGCGTGTAGCATGTGGGAATCTTAGAGCGTGTAGCATGTGGGAATCTTAGAGCGTGTAGCATGTGGGAATCTTAGAGCGTGTAGCATGTGGGAATCTTAGAGCGTGTAGCATGTGGGAAACTTAGACAAGCTGGACATGCACCTGCGTGTAGCATGTGGGAATTTTAGAGTGTGTAGCATTTGGGAATCTTAGAGCGTGTAGCATGTGGGAAACTTAGACAAGCTGGACATGCACCTGCGTGTAGCATGTGGGAATCTTAGAGCGTGTAGCATGTGGGAATCTTAGAGCGTGTAGCATGTGGGAAACTTAGACAAGCTGGACATGCACCTGCGTGTAGCATGTGGGAGTCTTAGAGCGTGTAGCATGTGGGAATCTTAGACTAGCTGGACATGCACCTGCGTGTAGCATGTGGGAATCTTAAAGCGTGTAGCATGTGGGAATCTTAGAGCGTGTAGCATGTGGGAATCTTAGAGCGTGCAGCATGTGGGAATCTTAGAGAGTGTAGCATGTGGGAATCTTAAATCGTGCAGCATGTGGGAATCTTAGAGCGTGTAGCATGTGGGAATCTGAGAGCGTGTAGCATGTGGGAATCTTAGAGCGTGTAGCATGTGGGAATCTTAGAGCGTGTAGCATGTGGGAATCTTAGACTAGCTGGGCATGCACCTGCGTGTAGCATGTGGGAATCTTAGAGCGTGTAGCATGTGGAAATCTTAGAGCGTGTAGCATGTCGGAATCTTAGAGCGTGTAGCATGTGGGAATCTTAGAGCGTGTAGCATGTGATAATCTTAGAATAGCTGGGCATGCACCTGCGTGTAGCATGTGGGAATCTTAGAGCGTGTAGCATGTGGGAATCTTAGACAAGCTGGGCATGCACCTGCGTGTAGCATGTGGGAATCTTAGAGCGTGTAGCATGCGGGAATCTTAGACTAGCTGGAAATGCACCTGCGTGTAGCATGTGGGAATCTTAAAGCGTGTAGCATGTGGGAATCTTAGAGCGTGTAGCATGTGGGAATCTTAGAGCGTGCAGCATGTGGGAATCTTAGAGCGTGTAGCATGTTGGAATCATAGAGCGTATAGCATGTGGGAATCTTAGAGCGTGTAGCATGTGGGAATCTTAGAGCGTGTAGCATGTGGGAATCTTAGAGCGTGTAGTATGTGGGAATCTTAGACTAGCTGGGCATGCATCTGCGTGTAGCATGTGGGAATCTTAGACTAGCTGGGCATGCATCTGCGTGTAGCATGTGGGAATCTTAGACTAGCTGGGCATGCATCTGCGTGTAGCATGTGGGAATCTTAGAGCGTGTAGCATGTGGGAATCTTAGAGCGTGTAGCATGTGGGAATCTTAGAGCGTGTAGCATGTGGGAATCTTAGAGCGTGTAGCATGTGGGAATCTTAGAGCGTGTAGCATGTGGGAATCTTAGAGCGAGTAGCATGTGGGAATCTTAGACTAGCTGGGCATGCACCGGCGCGTAGCATGTGGGAATCTTAGAGCGTGTAGCATGTGGGAATCTTAGAGCGTGTAGCATGTGGGAACCTTAGAGCGTATAGCATGTGGGAATCTTAGAGCGAGTAGCATGTGGGAATCTTAGACTAGCTGGGCATGCATCTGCGTGTAGCATGTGGGAATCTTAGACTAGCTGGGCATGCATCTGCGTGTAGCATGTGGGAATCTTAGACTAGCTGGGCATGCATCTGCGTGTAGCATGTGGGAATCTTAGAGCGTGTAGCATGTGGGAATCTTAGAGCGTGTAGCATGTGGGAATCTTAGAGCGTGTAGCATGTGGGAATCTTAGAGCGTGTAGCATGTGGGAATCTTAGAGCGTGTAGCATGTGGGAATCTTAGAGCGAGTAGCATGTGGGAATCTTAGACTAGCTGGGCATGCACCGGCGCGTAGCATGTGGGAATCTTAGAGCGTGTAGCATGTGGGAATCTTAGAGCGTGTAGCATGTGGGAATCTTAGAGCGTGTAGCAGTGGGAATCTTAGAGCGAGTAGCATGTGGGAATCTTAGACTAGCTGGGCATGCACCGGCGCGTAGCATGTGGGAATCTTAGAGCGTGTAGCATGTGGGAATCTTAGAGCGTGTAGCATGTGGGAACCTTAGAGCGTATAGCATGTGGGAATCTTAGAGCGTATAGCATGTGGGAATCTTAGAGCGTGTAGCATGTGGGAACCTTAGAGCGTATAGCATGTGGGAAACTTAGAGCGTGTAGCATGTGGGAACCTTAGAGCGTGTAGCATGTGGGAATCTTAGAGCGTGTAGCATGTGGGAACCTTAGAGCGTATAGCATGTGGGAACCTTAGAGCGTGTAGCATGTGGGAATCTTAGAGCGTGTAGCATGTGGGAATCTTAGATCGTGTAGCATGTGGGAATCTTAGAGCGTGTAGCATGTGGGAATCTTAGATCGTGTAGCATGTGGGAATCTTAGAGCGTGTAGCATGTGGGAATCTTAGATCGTGTAGCATGTGGGAATCTGACACAAGCTGGACATGCCATATGCGTCAACAATTTCAAAAATATTCAGGTTTTTTTTTAAATTTTCCTCTGGGACTGCAAAATGAAGGTGTGACCATGAGTGACTCAAAGAGCCTCTTTTGGACGTCAGTCTAGCAGGCACATGTATTAGGACACACAAAGCCAACTGAATAGCATACTTTCCAATTCGTGTAGGGTTGTGAAAAGGGCTATAAGAAAGATGATCAGTTAGCTATATCGGAGAAGCAGTTATTACCCTTGAAAACATGCATATATTAAGAAAACTTGATCACCTCTCATTTAACATCTATTGTAATTAACTGATTGACTGCCATTTAAATAAGAACGAGGCGTTGCGAACGAGCTTCGCAATGCCAGGGTGCGGAATCAATCCAAGCTGCGGGCCCTGCGACAAAATGACGTAAATTTGCTTTGAAAAACCACAACAGCTAAAACATGCTGGGGTTGGTTCTGCAATGCCCTGCAAAGGATACGTAACTAACTGAAATTTAACAATGTTTTCACATTCAGTTTCTGCGTGATTGCGACTCTTCGAATGAGAATCTACAAGGCAAAAACATCCCAGAATCCGGTCCATCCCGAAAATAAAGTTCCTCGTCTGTTAGTTCGTTCGTTCCTTCGTTCGTTTGTTCGATTCTAGTCTAAATTAGAATAGTGTGCTAAGAAAGAAGGAGCAGAAAGCGTTTTTGTTTGGAAGGAGGGTATGTTTGCTATAAAACTTAGAAAACTGAAATTTCTTTATTTTTCCAGCTTGGGCCGGCTTGAGGCTCATCGGGTCTGATTTTTATTAAAAATCTTTCTAAAGAACTTTTCTTCTCCCTTCTCCTCGGGATGTTTTGGAAATGGGACACTGTTTGGACATTCCAGACTGTGCTATTACGGCTTGTTTGGCCTTTTTGAGGTGATACTTTTCTGTTAAATGTTTAGCATCTTTTCATTTCCTTGATTAATAAAAGAGCTAGAAGAGCGTAGCTGGCGGTGTCGTAACTTATTTAGACTCTAACAAGTTCTAGCACGCAAGCCCTTTTCCAGCCAAAGGTCGTATACCAGGCAGCCATTTTTCGCGTCTAAACAGGGCGAATTCAAAGTTTGGAGTACACCAAAGCGGACGTATACCGAGGCACAACCGTATTTGTCTGCCATGAAAACAGTACTTCGTCTAATAGAAGTGGTTACTTCCCATGAAAACATAGTGATTATATCCATGAAAACTTAGTTATTATTTACATGAAAACATAGTGATTATTTACATGAAAACATAGTGATTACCTAAATGAAAACATTGTTAATTTTTTTTTCATTAAAACATAGTGATTACTTCCATGAAAACATAGTGATTATTTCCATGAAAACATAGTGATTATTTCCATGAAAACATAGTGATTACTTCCATGAAAACATAGTGAATATTTTCATGAAAACATAGTGATTATTTCCATGAAAACATAGTGATTATTTCCATGAACACATAGTGATTATTTCCACGAACACATAGTAATTACCTAAATGAAAATATAGTTATTTTTTCTTTAGAACATAGTGATTACTTCCATGAAAACACAGACCTCATATAGTACTAATGCTTACTTTCAATAAAAACTTATACTTTATCCAAAAAAAGTAGTTCTTCCTCTGCTTGTCTAACGTCAACTGGAGCATAGGCCCTCAACCAACTCACGCCAAGTAGTTTTATCCTTGGCGTGCAGCTCTCCCCATGTCCTCACTATAAACTTCATTCTCTAGCTCTCTTCACCGTATGTGTGTATGTATGTATGTATGTATGTATGTATGTATGTATGTATGTATGTATGTATGTATGTATGTATGTATGTATGTATGTATGTATGTATGTATGTATGTATGTATGTATGTATGTATGTATGTATGTATGTATGTATGTATGTATGTATGTATGTATGTATGTATGTATGTATGTATGTATGTATGTATGTATGTATGTATGTATGTATGTATGTATGTATGTATGTATGTATGTATGTATGCATGTATGTTTGTATATATGTGTGTATGTATGTATGTATGTGGGTAGCTGTATGTGTGATTGTTTATGTGTGTATGCATGGATGTGTGTGTAATGTATGTTGGTTTATGTATGCATGCATGTATGTTTGTATATATGTGTGTGTGTATGTATGTATGTGGGTAGCTGTATGTGTGATTGTTTATGTGTGTATGCATGCATGTGTGTGTAATGTATATTGGTTTATGTATGCATGCATGTATGTTTGTATATATGTGTGTATGTATGTGGGTAGCTGTATGTGTGATTGTTTATGTGTGTATGGATGCCTGTGTGTGTAATGTATGTTGGTTTATGTATGCATGCATGTATGTTTGTATATATGTGTGTGTGTATGCATGTATGTGGGTAGCTGTATGTGTGATTGTTTATGTGTGTATGTATGTATGTGTGTGTAATGTATGTTGGTTTATGTATGCATGCATGTATGTTTGTATATATGTGTGTGTGTATGTATGTATGTGGGTAGCTGTATGTGTGATTGTTTATGTGTGTATGCATGGATGTGTGTGTAATGTATGTTGGTTTATGTATGCATGCATGTATGTTTGTATATATGTGTGTATGTATGTATGTATGTGGATAGCTGTATGTGTGATTGTTTATGTGTGTATGTATGTATGTATGTGGATAGCTGTATGTGTGATTGTTTATGTGTGTATGTATGTATGTATGTGGATAGCTGTATGTGTGATTGTTTATGTGTGTATGTATGTATGTGTGTGTAATGTATGTTGGTTTATGTATGTATGTATGTATGTTTGTATATATGTGTGTGTGTATGCATGTATGTGGGTAGCTGTATGTGTGATTGTTTATGTGTGTAGGCATGTATGTGTGTGTAATGTATGTTGGTTTATGTATGCATGCATGTATGTTTGTATATATGTGTGTATGTATGTATGTATGTGGGTAGCTGTATGTGTGATTGTTTATGTGTGTATGCATGGATGTGTGTGTAATGTATGTTGGTTTATGTATGCATGCATGTATGTTTGTATATATGTGTGTATGTATGTATGTATGTGGATAGCTGTATGTGTGATTGTTTATGTGTGTATGCATGCATGTGTGTGTAATGTATGTTGGTTTATGTATGCATGCATGTTTGTTTGTATATATGTGTGTATGTATGTATGTATGTATGTGGATAGCTGTATGTGTGATTGTTTATGTGTGTATGTATGTATGTATGTGGATAGCTGTATGTGTGATTGTTTATGTGTGTATGCATGGATGTGTGTGTAATGTATGTTGGTTTATGTATGCATGCATGTATGTTTGTATATATGTGTGTATGTATGTATGTATGTGGGTAGCTGTATGTGTGATTGTTTAGGTGTGTATGCATGCATATGTGTGTAATGTATGTTGGTTTATGTATGCATGCATGTATGTTTGTATATATGTGTGTATGTATGTATGTATGTATGTGGGTAGCTGTATGTGTGATTGTTTATGTGTGTATGCATGGATGTGTGTGTAATGTATGTTGGTTTATGTATGCATGCATGTATGTTTGTATATATGTGTGTATGTATGTATGTATGTGGATAGCTGTATGTGTGATTGTTTATGTGTGTATGTATGTATGTATGTGTAATGTATGTTGGTTTATGTATGTATGTATGTTTGTATATATGTGTGTATGTATGTATGTTTGTATATATGTGTGTATGTATGTATGTTTGTATATATGTGTGTATGTATGTATGTTTGTATATATGTGTGTATGCATGTATGTTTGTATATATGTGTGTATGTATGTATGTATGTGGATAGCTGTATGTGTGATTGTTTATGTGTGTATGTATGTATGTGTGTGTAATGTATGTTGGTTTATGTATGTATGTATGTATGTTTGTATATATGTGTGTGTGTATGCATGTATGTGGGTAGCTGTATGTGTGATTGTTTATGTGTGTATGCATGTATGTGTGTGTAATGTATGTTGGTTTATGTATGCATGCATGTATGTTTGTATATATGTGTGTATGTATGTATGTATGTGGGTAGCTGTATGTGTGATTGTTTATGTGTGTATGCATGGATGTGTGTGTAATGTATGTTGGTTTATGTATGCATGCATGTATGTTTGTATATATGTGTGTATGTATGTATGTATGTGGATAGCTGTATGTGTGATTGTTTATGTGTGTATGCATGCATGTGTGTGTAATGTATGTTGGTTTATGTATGCATGCATGTTTGTTTGTTATATATGTGTGTATGTATGTATGTATGTATGTGGATAGCTGTATGTGTGATTGTTTATGTGTGTATGTATGTATGTATGTGGATAGCTGTATGTGTGATTGTTTATGTGTGTATGCATGGATGTGTGTGTAATGTATGTTTTGTTTATGTATGCATGCATGTATGTTTGTATATATGTGTGTATGTATGTATGTATGTGGGTAGCTGTATGTGTGATTGTTTAGGTGTGTATGCATGCATGTGTGTGTAATGTATGTTGGTTTATGTATGCATGCATGTATGTTTGTATATATGTGTGTATGTATGTATGTATGTGGGTAGCTGTATGTGTGATTGTTTATGTGTGTATGCATGGATGTGTGTGTAATGTATGTTGGTTTATGTATGCATGCATGTATGTTTGTATATATGTGTGTATGTATGTATGTATGTGGGTAGCTGTATGTGTGATTGTTTATGTGTGTATGCATGCATGTGTGTGTAATGTATGTTGGTTTATGTATGCATGCATGTATGTTTGTTATATGTGTGTGTATGTATGTATGTATGTGGGTAGCTGTATGTGTGATTGTTTATGTGTGTATGCATGCATGTGTGTGTAATGTATGTTGGTTTATGTATGCATGCATGTATGTTTGTATATATGTGTGTATGTATGCATGTATGTGGGTAGCTGTATGTGTGATTGTTTATGTGTGTATGCATGCATGTGTGTGTAATGTATGTGGGTTTATGTATGCATGCATGTATGTATGTATATATGTGTGTATGTATGCATGTTGGTGGATGTATGTATGCATATGTAGCTGTGGGAATATGTTTTTGTGTATTTAGGTATGTCTGCAAGTATGTATGTGTGTGTGTAACAATGTGAGTGTATGTATAGATGTGTGTATGTTTGTGGGTGTATGTGTGTGTATTTAGGTATGTCTGCAAGTATGTATGTATGTGTGTAACGATAAGAGTGTATATATAGATGTGTGTATGTATGTATGCATGTATGTGTGTGTAAGTATGTATGTATGCATGCTTGTTCGTGTATTTATGCATGTGAGTCTATATGTGTGGTAGTGGACGTTGTGGGTGTCTGTATATGTGATTGTTTTTGTGTGTATGCACGCATGCATGTGTAGGTGTGTTTGAATGGAGTGTGTGTGTGCATGTATATCTATGTATGTGTGTTTTATGCATGATTGATAACAGGCATTGGTACTCTGAAAAAATGAGTGCTTAGAAGGACCTGCGTGCCCAATTTGTAACATTTTGAAAAAAAAGTTTGTTCGTTCGTTCGTTTGTATGTTTATAGCATTCCTTTGTTTATATGCCTGTGTGGTTTCAAGTGCAAAGACATTCTAGTTATATTGTTCTCAGGTTTACACAACATGTCCTTTATCCAACGCCAGCATCTTTTCTTTACCTGTTGGTCCACTGGAGTGTGTTTAGTACGCTCTCAAAGCTCCACATTAGTGATTCTATCATACCACTTAATTCCCTCTACTTCGATTAGTCACCAGGTAAGGAATTTTTATAGTTTATTTGTAATTGCCTAACAAAGACTTTATCTATTACAAGTAATTACTTTCCCTTAAACCATATACTTCCCTTAATAAAGGTGATGACTTCTCATAGAAACATTACTTCATCTAATAAGTGGTTACTTCCCAAGAAAATATATCAGAGCCATCATTATCTTCATCATCATCATCATCATCATCATCATCATCATCATCATCATCATCATAAACCACTTCTGTCGTTAAGCGAAGTGCGAAGGAATTATTTACGATTACGTGCAACGCGAAAGCCACGGACGGCACCCGAATGAACTGATACGCCGAAAAACTGTAAGTTTGTTTGAGTGCTATTCTCAATAAAAACCTGACCTTTTGCCTAAATGGACATCCGTTCTTTCATTTAAGCACTTGGAACCGACCTAGCATCTTCAGGTAGCAGCCCCGAGGGGCTAAAGGTGGGAATTTAAAAGAAGAAGACGACCAGTAATTACCTCCCCTCACGACAGGAACCACATCGACATTGTTGAAGATCTTGAAGAACTTCTCCGTGACGTACTCTTGGCACAGCGAGTTCTCAAAGGCCAGGTAGAACCTGCAGGGTGATCACGGATAATGTCTTATCGACTCATGATTATAGAGGACACATGACAGACAATAGAGAATGTCTTATCGACTCATGACTATAGGAGATGTCTTATAGACACTTAGCAGACAACAGGGAATGTCTTATAGACACTTAACAACAGACAGTGTCTTACAGACTCACGATTACAGGGAATTCTCACGGGTGTGTGACTAACAACAGACAGTGGTTTGTAGACACAAGACAACAGATAAGGTCTTAAAACAGCCATGACAACAACTGACTGACTTTCTACCCCACCAGGACATCACACAAGCGATAAACACCCGATGACACAAAGTGCCACCATGCGGGTGAGGATCACCGTGGAGAGGTCCCAGAAACCGCGTTCAGACAATTGGCCATATCTATGGCCTGCCTATATTGCGGCCCCTAGCAAAAGCCAGAGTGGGGCTTCAAATAACAAACAAATTTCGTCCTAAAAAGGACGAAAGTGGATGAAATATATATAATGACAACAAAACTAAACTGACTCACTTGTAAGTCCTGGACAGCAAGGGGAAGCAAGTGCTCCTGTCAGCATCATTTCTCATGGCAGCAACTCCTGGGATTATCTCCGCCTGGCCACAACTTAGAGTTCCGCATGACCCAAACACATCAACGTCAGTTCTACATAAAGAGTAAATCATCTTGCGTATAGTTGTGCAGTAAATGTTTCTGCATGTCAATGAGCATGCCGCCTCCACTGTCAACTTGTCATGCCTAATGTAGCCTCGGAAACGATGACATCATCAGGTGGCAGGTCTTTTCATAATGGCGTTTTCCATCATAACCTCCAGTAATATCTCTCAGTTCGCTACCAAATTCCCTGGGTATTTTTTATGCCTAATGAATTTCCAACATAACATGTCAACCTTCGCACTAGTCAACATCTGTCTCTTCTTCTAGGAACGATCCCTTCAAATACAGTTCCAGTCCCCTGTACGATACAAGCCTTCTTCCACTCCTTTTATTTTTATTGTATTTTCCAATGGCGCCCCCAACCTCCAACAAACCAGTTCACTCAAAGATGTCGAGCAGCTCACCCATGTACTCCGCATCTTTGTAACCTCCCCCTATAGTCCCATCCTCTGTTGTTATTTGTGTGTTCGTGTGTGTGTGTGTGTGGAGGGGAGGGAAGGTGGGAGAGGGAAGATGGGGGGAGGGAAGGTGGGGGAGGGAAGATGGGGGAGGGAAGATGGGGGAGGGAAGATGGGGGAGGGAAGATGGGGGAGGGACGATGGGGGAGGGAAGATGGGGGAGGGAAGATGAGGGAGGGAAGATGGGGGAGGGAAGATGGGAGAGGGAAGATGAGGGAGGGAAGATGGGGGAGGGAAGATGGGAGAGGGAAGATGGGGGAGGGAAGATGGGGAAAGAGGTCTGACTTTAATTATTTGTTCGTGGGTTTAAATGAAAAAACATTTCAGCTATACTGTTCTCAGGTTTTTATAACGTGTGACCTCGTTAATGCATAGATCTTTTCTTCACCCATTGATTCATTATAATTTGCATTGTTATTTGAATATGGTCCAAGTATTTCACTTAAATGGAAATAGTAACGCTAATGGCCAGTTTTCTTTGTTGACATCAGACGAATGTTACGAGAAATACCTTTAGTGATTAGTGTCAGCATAGGCAAGGTATTCGTTTCCATATGCAAGTAAGTCTATATAATCTAGTGTGAGCCTTCCTTGGGCAAGGTTTAAATCTTCTTAGGCAGGGTTTGAGCCTAATTAGACAAGTATGAGAATCCCTATGCAAGGCTTGAGCCTACTTAGGAAAGGTATGATTCTTCTTAAGCAAGGTTTGAGCCTCCTTGAGCAAGGTTTGAGCCTACTTGGGCAAAGTGTAAGCCTCCTTAGTCAAGGTTTGGACCTCCTTGAGCAAGGTTTGAGCCTACTTGGGCAAAGTGTAAGCCTCCTTAGTCAAGGTTTGGACCTCCTTAAGCAAGGTTTGAGCCTACTTGGGCAAAGTGTAAGCCTCCTTAGCCAAGGTTTGGACCTCCTCAAGCAAGGTTTGAGCCTACTTGGGCAAAGTGTAAGCCTCCTTAGTCAAGGTTTGGACCTCCTTAAGCAAGGTTTGAGCCTACTTGGGCAAAGTGTAAGCCTCCTTAGTCAAGGTTTGGACCTCCTTAAGCAAGGTTTGAGCCTACTTGGGCAAAGTGTAAGCCTCCTTAGCCAAGGTTTGGACCTCCTCAAGCAAGGTTTGAGCCTACTTGGGCAAAGTGTAAGCCTCCTTAGTCAAGGTTTGGACCTCCTTAAGCAAGGTTTGAGCCTACTTGGGCAAAGTGTAAGCCTCCTTAGTCAAGGTTTGGACCTCCTTAAGCAAGGTGTGAGTTTCCATAGGAAAAGTGTGAGAATCCTTAGGCAAGTTGTGAGCCTTCTTAGGTGAGGCTTTAGTCTCCTGAGGCAATGTTTAAGCCTCTGTGGAAACTTATGAGCCTAACTTAGGCAAGGTGTGAGCCTGAATAGGCAAGGTGTGAAACTCCATAGTCAAGGTGTAAGCATCCTTAAGCAAGTTGTAAGTCTCCGTAGGCAAGGCGTAAACCTCCATAGACAAGCTATTAGCCTGTACAAAAAACATAACAGATCTTCCACTAGTTTATATGACAGGATGTAGACACGAACAGACAAAATACAGATTGCTACAGTCGGAAACATAAGTGTGTGTCTATAAAAGGATCAACACTTTTCCCATAGTAACGGTAGTGGAGTTTTTCGACTCTTTTAGCCCTCAGGTAAAAAAATTACAAAAATGTGATAGCTTTAACAAGATCACTTGGTTAAGTGTGGATGCCAATGTTACACTCGCACCTTGTCTGCATCCTGGTGACGTAGATTCTCCTGTCGGACCTCACCGGACAGTGACTGACGAACCAGGCTGCAGTTCTGTTTTTCCTTGCGTAGATCTCATCTGTAGAAATGTTCCAGTACAAATATAACTCATTATTTCAAACAATGTTTCGCCAAGTAAAATTAAATAATGCGGACACAGACAATGCGTAATTAGAAGGAGTTTGCTATCAATTTGAAGGCCCGGCTCTCTAGCGTAGTTGGCTAAACCGGATTGCGCGGAGACCGGGTGACGAACTCTTCTTGTGTTCCGGGTTCAATCCCGGGGGTAGGCTGAAAAGCCACATTTTCTCCCAAATTTACGGTATTTACAATGAAATCAAGGCCGAAAGGTTGCGATATCCATAATACCGAGCCTAAGGGTTAACAACTCATGGCTTCTGGATACTAAAACAAACAACAAACAAAACAACAATCAATTTGAAACCAGGTTGAGTTACGTGATAATTGTGAACATTCCTGCAATTGGATGTACAATGTATCGAGTGAGACCAGCTTCTGTATGTGTTGACATAACTATAAAACATCTGAAAATTCGTTGGTTTGACTGGTTTCAACAGCCAATCCGTATCATGGCACAAGGGTAGTAACCCATAAGTGCTCCGTTCTACTTCTAACTCAAGCTTGAGTCCGAAGAATCTCAGCACAGTGCACGAACTCCGTAGCACCTGGGAGAATTCTGAACTACTGTGGGTAGATTTTTAACTCCAAATTTGGCCCGCAGCGCCGTTAGTCTTCTCTTTTCGATTTCCAACTGCCAAGAGATTTTTTGTTTACGTGCGCCACAATACACACAGGCGTCAAGTTTTACTACCCAGAGACCAGTGGAATAAGTCGAAGTCCACGTTAAACAAATTCCAGCCTTTGCCGGGCCTGAACTCGGAACCCCTTGCACTCGAGGCGAACACCATGTCTTGAGACCACTTAGCTCCCCTTAAGAGATACGGCGAAAGATGTCTGGCAAAAAATTGTGCAATGCATTGTTTGTGTACACATTGTTTGTGTGCACATTGTTTGTGTGCACATTGTTTGTGTGCACATTGTTTGAAACAAGTCAGTATATTATATATCAGTATCTTCACCACTAGCATCATTGATGTTTCCTGTAACGTTGGGTTACATCTAGGGTAGATCACCATTATCATCATTGATGTTTCCTGTAACGTTGGGTTACAGCTAGGGCAGATCACCACTATCATCATTGATGTTTTCTGTAACGTTGGGTTACAGCTAGGGCAGATCACCACTATCATCATTGATGTTTCCTGTAACGTTGGGTTACAGCTAGGGCAGATCACCACTATCATCATTGATGTTTCCTGTAACGTTAGGTTACAGCAAGGGCAGATCACCACTATCATCATTGATGTTTCCTGTAACGTTGGGTTACAGCTAGGGCAGATCACCACTATCATCATTGATGTTTCCTGTAACGTTAGGTTACAGCTAGGGCAGATCACCACTATCATCATTGATGTTTCCTGTAACGTTGGGTTACATCTAGGGTAGATCAGCACTATCATCATTGATGTTTGTGGTAAGGTTAGGCTAGTAGAACACAAGTTTAAGTTACATCAGTACAAGTTTTCCGTTATACCTCAACCAAAAGAATTAGATCATCAGTGCAGGGTTATCTGCACTTTCTATGTCTTGCCTCCTATTGTCAAATAATTCGTCTTATTGCTCTTCTTTACAGTTATCATTGCATGGTTCATATACTTGTATATATGTTTATGTTTTTTTTCCTCGTTTAATTTTCAAAGTTATAAAATCTTTCAGTGATAACTGATGTCTAATATGTAGTTAGATATGAACGGATACAAGAAACCCATTTCTTTCTGAGCGACATTTGTTTTACTGTAGGTTAATTTGCCTGTTAAAACCAAGCGATCAAAAAATATCGAGGTTGGTTATGCAATTTCAAGTGAAGTAGGCAGCTGACTTAGCAGCAGCAACAACAGCATAATTAATTGTAGTTGCAGTAGTGGGTGTGATGGTCACTGTTTGAAGGTTTCAGTTAAGTGAGGAGGCAAATGTGTTAGGGTAGAAATGTGGAAGTTAAGCATAATGATGATGATGAATTAAAAACAAGGGATCATGACATTGCTGAAGCCACTTACCATAGTCCTTCTCCACCAGTTGTTCACTTTCCGTCAGTCTCCCGTATACAATGGGTATATCGCTGTCCAGTTTGTGCGTCATGGTCAAGTTGATCTGCTCTCGAATGCCAGTTCTGTTTACGCTGACGAACCAAGAAAATCTGGACGGGGCTTCGTTGGTGTAAAAAACCCAGCTTGTGAAAACAGTAACATTATATTAGATATACAGTGTATAAGACATTTATTGGATAATTAATGTATTTAAAGGTTCTTTATTAAATCAATTATACGGACCATGTAATGCCAGTAAATGACATTTGTATTTACAATATTAGTGCGTTAATCTATGTAGGAATCCATGACAGATCTTGGCATTTGAACACTACACTGTGTGTATATATGTGTGAAGTGTGTATGATTGAGGCGACGAGTTATTTTTGTTCAAAAAAATGTCGGACTATGTTAGAAAGTCGGGTTCTTTTTGGTTTAGTGACAACATCCAGCGAGATTTAGGGACATTCTTTATGAAAGGGGGGTTAGCGTTATGGTTAGTGTTAAATGAATGGCGACTACTACTAACCCTGCCCCTTAACCCCCCTATTTTATGGGATGTCCTTAAACCACGCTTGACGTGGTCGCTAAACAGAAAAGAACCCACAATCTTTCTAAGTACAGCAAGTAAGGGTGTTCTGTACTGAATCAGTAATCTATTCCTGAATGTGTGCTGTACCTGTTAACGTCTGTGCGTGTCTACTGAGGCCGGCAGCTCGACCCCTAATGCTTAGAGATCGGTTTGTGCAGATCCAAGTTCCACTCACCGTGTGCGTGTCTTTCCATGACGCTTGCCTTTTCAGACCAGATATAAGGTTAAAGTTTAAGCAGAGAGGATGGAAATCATTGCCCCGGGTTTTATCATATTTAACCTTTTCTTCTTGTGGTTGTTTAGCATGCCTTTCGTGTTTGCTCTCCGAAACTGGTCTGGGAACATCCCACAAAAGATGGATCTTGGGACCACACATAGGTTCACATAACAGCATCGAAGAATTGCTGCCTCTCTAGAAGGACACAGTTAAGATAAAACAAAAACTCACATCTGGCCAGGCTTGCGAATGAACTGTGGCGGCGGCGAGGTTGTCAGTTTGACGGCGTAGAAGAGGACAGCATCTGCTAACTCTATGTACTCGGTCATCTTGCAGTTCTTGTACTCACACTGAAAATGTAGGCTAATTCAATAACTGCCACGTTAGAACGATCGACGACGACAACAGAATTTTTTTTTATCGTCCTAGTATTCACCTGCTGTAAAGTCAGGAGGAAAGTGTTTCGTTTTCTCGTCCACGTCTGGGTTTGGGTTTGTTCCAGAACTTGAGCTTTGCATTAACATCCGTGTAACAGATCTGGCTTGTGTGTGTGTTTTTTTTTTTTTTTCAGACTTTTGGTCCCTCGCTATCAGACGGACGCACTCTTTTAAAGGAAAACCCCCAATTAGTCGCCTTTGACGGCATTGTTGTAAGAAGTGTAGTAAGTCAGTTTTTCTTCCCCCACCAAAACAGGGCCACGAGTCCTAACGGTAGAAAAAAAAGTTTGTAAAACTACAAGTAACTGGGGAACCTTGAATGCTATAGAAACTGTATGACTGGCTTATAGACTTGCATTGGCATTCTTAACCAAAAGAAGGGAGATAGGAGCAAACACTAGAGAACATGACATGGTAGCTAAAGTTTTCTACGTGTACGTTGTCCAGCGTGTTCTCCGGTCTCTGCTTATTTTAATAAGCCCTACTCGATACACGTTCGTCACAGTTAAAACCACAAAATATTTTCGTAATTTTCTTGTTAAATGAAAAAAGAGATGATACACTTTCGAATTTATTATCCTTTTCTTTACAGCGTCAGGTAAAATATGTAATATATTTGCCCAGGGTTAGCCAACCCATTCTATGTATCGATGGATGTGCTGCAGCATATCAGCGTCCCAATACAAGTATACAAGCCTAGTGGGCTGGTAGTAATGCTAAGCCGATGGCATTTCAGTGAAAGAGAAGTAGCAACATTCTACAATGGGTGCATGTCGATAAAGACGTGTCACGCCTTCTTCAGTGAATTGCAGCTGTGTTCGTGTGAAGCTAGCATTCTACAGTCTAAACAAACTATATCTGCACATAACAGATCGATGAATGTCTTTAGAATTTGTGGCTGTGACATGTCAAATAGCAACACTAAAACCGGCAGATTAAATAATTGTAACACACAAGGGATGATTCTGATGAAAGTCATCTAGGCACATGTCCTAGCAACCCCGTTCAACAGTTAGCAAACAAAATCGTCATATGTTGTGGCCGTGTTGAATATAACAATAGTGCCTTGGTTCTTCCCTCCCTCCGTCCGTCCATTTATGAACACCCCCCCCCCCCCAACCCCCCACCTACCAAGAAAAAAATCGAAGAAACAAAGAACCCGAAAGCGTTGAAGCTAGTGCGAGCAGTATGAGCGCAGACACCGTGCACTTACCTCATCGAAGTCTGTACGCCCAAGAAACTGCGATTGTTTCTCCGGATCGTAGTAGCCGATTGTATAAACTCTTGTGTCGTCGACTGGCTTCTTCTCGGTGTGTCTGACAAATAACGACAAGAAAAGTCTCCCTAAAGCTCATATCTTCTGACCAATTGATTTCTGAATAAGGTATAGGGTGTGCTGAACGGGGACACGAACTGTGCACGTTGGAATGTATTCATTTTTTGTCTCTGAGGAAACAAATTCCGCTACCTCACAGAGGATTTGAACAGAGTTAACTAGAAAACAGCCGATATTATACTCACTCAGCCACCAGCCTCTCAGCAAACATAAACATGTACATTAGAATGGACTACACAATTACCCAGTTCTATGTTCGGTATTTTGGTCATATCAAGCTCCACGGCGGTTTGAAAAAAAAATATAAAGCAGAAGGCATGGTACCAGGAGGGAAGAGCAGGAGCCGACCGACGCGAAGATGGGCACAGGCTATAGGTGACACCTTGAGCATGAAAGAAGTACATGAGGCGTGAGAAGTGGCGAGACACCAAGTTTCTTTCAGGCAGACTGAGATGAGAGCGACCTTCTGCAAAGGACCTGCTACATGAAGATGATGATGATGATATTCGGTATTTTCTGCTCAGTTCCCAGGAAAACCATTTCAATACCGGGCAGTTCCGCTCAAGTAATATTACTGAGGGTGTTATTCTTCCTCTTCTTCTTTCTTTTGCTTGAAATAGATTATCTATATCCGCAATGTTGTCTCTAGTATGACCTTCACTGTCATAATTCAGGCAGTGACCTCTCTCTCTATCTCTCTCCCCCCCCCTCTCTCTCTCTCTCTCTCTTAATATATATATATATTGTTGTAACAAACCAGAACATCACACAAGTCATAAACACCCGGAACCCAGCAAAGTCGATTGCGCTCTTTTCTAATACATTGAATAATGACTTGCTCTGGTCTGTCCATTATATGGTATTCTTCTTTTGCCGATTGTGGTGACTATTTTAATGACTTTATCATTCTCTCATTCTGTGTATTAAAAACTATTACGTCACGTAGTTCTTCCTTTACACCTTCCTTAGCTGTCGGCGTCTGTGGCTTATACGTTCCGAACGAGTTTCGTATTGCCGGGGTGCCGGGTTCGATCCCAGCAGCGGGTCCTGCGCTTTGCATTGGTTTCGACAGTGGTACCGAGAAGCCGACCGTCCAAAAAGCAATGGAAAACTACTGGACGTAAATTTGCCTAGAAAAACAACAACAGCCAAAAAGTGCTGGAGTTGGTTCTGCAACGTCTTGTAAAGGATCCGCAACTAACTTTTTTTGCTAGCTTATCAGCTCTTTCATTTCCGGGAACTCAGTGGGAAAGTATCCATGGCAGTTTCCTTACAGCGGTTGCCTAGTCTGGAGAGTAGTTTCCCATACGAGGCAATTCTCAAGATTGAAGTGCCTGAAGTACCGCTCTTGACTCTGTCAGGAACAGCACCGGTTGTAAAACATGACGTATATTTAACATGATTCTATTAAAGATGGTTCAAAGCATAACCAGTCACTAGTTATCTCTCATGATAATTTGCTATTGACTGTCAAGAATTCTGTTTTCTTGCCTTGGGACATTAAGGGTACATAGTGAGAGCAAACACCGTAACGTTCTAAAACCACAGGCAGCAATCTAGACAAATGGTGTCACTGTTTTGTAGACCATTAGGTACACACTGGTCAATCGTTCGGGCATTCTGAGTACTTTAGCAATTACACACTAACACCTCCCCCCCCCCCCCCCTCCCCCTCTTTTTGCGCATTTGTTTCAGATATTGGTGATAAACACAGGTTATTTTTAAACAAAATGTGGTAATTGTAACTATGTCAAATTGCATGTTCATACAGATCCAAGAAAGAGATCAACAAAGAAGAAAAACAACGTACATAGTGTTGGATATGTGGCTTCCTGGGACCAGCATGAAGGGCGATTTAGATGGGTCGAAAGATGGATCGTTTGCGGGGTACAGGTGTTGTACTCTCTCTGTGGGAACAAAAACACGAGTGGGCCTCTGAAGCAGTGACATAAGATCCTTTTGTTACACAACTATCATCATCATGTGACTTAATATGAGATGTGAGCTTTAACTCCTCTCCAGAGATCGGGCCTCCCCTTTCCCCCCTCAGTCCTCTGTGTACTGGTTCTATAATGTCGATGACAGGGGCGCCACCATAAACTAACCATAGCGGTTAGGGATTCCTTCTTTAAGTGCGTAATAATATTATTATTATTATATGCAAACAGATATAATAATATTTTTGAAATATGATAAAAAGATATAAACAAACACTTTTAAAAAAAATGTTTATCGATGGTTTGGGGAAAGGGCCTCTCATACCTCTAAACATTTTCCGGACAGGTACTTGGAGACTTGGGGGTGGGTGGGGGTGGGTGGGGCTCAGCACCTGCAGATGCACTACGACTTCGAGGAATGCTAAATAGTCAGGATAATTTTCAGTAACCCACGCAAACATATGTAGCTGTCATCTGTGATCACTTCGCGCGTGTAAGCATTAGCAGGTAATATATATACTGGAGAGAGTAGCAGGGGCTAGACCTATATTTTTATAGACCAATTGGCACTTGGTGGGTGATCTGTTCAGCATCACGCCTGCGGCCTTTACTTTCCAGGACTGCACTTGGTACCCACTCAAGGCTGGGTTGACATGGGATTCAAGGTCTTTTTTTTTTTTTTTTTTATGAAGTCCGGTTTCCGACAGAACGCGAACCCACGACCTCCCGATCCACAGTCGGGAGATCCACAGTCGGGAGTCCAGCCGCCAACGTCACGGCGACTAAGATTCTATAATAACTGGAAATAAAGTTGATTAATTCAATCCAAAGCAAAATAAATTCATGGTATTGGTTAACGATTGTGCAGTTTTCATTTATCAGATTGTATGACGATAGTGAAGCAGTCAGTGAGTTTGATGAGCATAGGAGACTGATGATAACATGCAGTTCAAGAAAGAAAGCTCACGTGGGAAATAATCACCAGGTCAATGTCATCTGCATCCAAGGCTAATTGCCTTACACCAAAAGCTCGATGGTCTCATTTCTATTTAAACCAACCGTAAGCTTGCCACTTGGTCGTAAATGTATGCTGAATACTCTAATATGCTACCGCAGCGACTTTAAATAAACCTAGAATCTCACAGTACCTGTTGCATAGTCACCAATTTCGTCTTGTCCCTGTCCGAAAACATCAGGTAATACGTGCAGCAGAAGCAGATCAAGCCTGAGCTTCATGAACTCAGGTGGGCCCACCCTCTGAGATTTTCTAGGAGCTCGTGGGCCGAAACATTTGTGGGCGAGGGATCACTTTTACTGATGATTGGTAGACTCCTGCTGTACATGCTTCCCTGTGGAGTTTCTTCTTATTCTATTTCACTGGTCCCACCATGTCTATATAGAATGTGTTATCTAGAGTCATGACACATTAACACCGTGCAAAGGTATTGGTGTGTGAATTCAATAGCAGCCACAAGGATATTTAATTGGCGTTGTTCTGGTCGGCCTAACCTTTAGTTATTGCAAAAGAACACATGTCACTATATTTCTTAATGTCATCATTATTACCAAGCGCTTTGTCGACTGGCGTAGGTGTTCATGCATCTCCACAGATCTCTGTCCCTCTACCTCTGGATCAGTTCCACCGATGATATCCCTCCGCGCCACCGTCGCAGTCTATCCGTCATCATCGCTCTCGGTCTCCTTCTTCCTCTTCTACCGTTGATCTTCCCAGTCGTTACAACATTCTCCATAACCTCCCCACTGATCTCATAACCATAGAACCTTACAGCTGTATATATTGATCTGCTTTCATTAGCTTCTTTCAAGCAATCCTTGTTAGTTAGTATAGCAGTCCACAGGATTCTCAATATTCGTCTGAAGGAAAAAAAAACTCATCTCTGTCGCTTCCAAGGTCATTCTAATCTGTGCATTGACATTCCATGATTCACTAGCATACAGCAAGTTAGGTTCTACATAACATTTTAGTACTCTCTTCCGAACATCGAAAGAGAGGGACCTGTTGCACAAGATGTTCTTCATTCTGTGAAAGGCAGCCTTTGTTTGACTAACTATGCTCCTAATTTTTGACAAACTACTTCCGTCTGATGTTATGGTTTGTACCCAGATATTGAACTTGGATTACTTTTTATCTTCTATTCTAATATCACACTGTCATTGTTTCTTTAAGAAATGAACGTATCAAAATCAAAATAGAAGGACACGTACTTAAGTTTACAACCGTGTGGCCGCAGCAATAACAAACAGTAACAGGAGGCATTTTTATCTGTTAATGGAAAGTGTGAGCATCGCTTACACCCGTTACACGCACTCCTGACCACTGATGGACACTCCTGACCACTTATGGACACTCCTGGCCACTGCTGGACCCTCCTGGCCACTGATAGACACTCCTGGCCACTGCTGGACCCTCCTGGCCACTGCTGGACAATCCTGGCCACTGCTGGACAATCCTGGCCACTGCTGGACCCTCCTGGCCACTGCTGGACACTCCTGGCCACTGATGGACACTCCTGGCCACTGATAGACACTCCTGGCCACTGATAGACACTCCTGGCCACTGGTGGACCCTCCTGGCCACTGCTGGCCACTCCTGGCCACTGGTGGACCCTCCTGGCCACTGCTGGACACTCCTGGCCACTGCTGGACCCTCCTGGCCACTGCTGGACACTCCTGGCCACTGATGGACCCTCCTGGCCACTGCTGGACACTCCTGGCCACTGATGGACACTCCTGGCCACTGATAGACACTCCTGGCCACTGATAGACACTCCTGGCCACTGATAGACACTCCTGACCACTGATGGACCCTCCTGGCCACTGATGGACACTCCTGGCCACTGCTGGACACTCCTGGCCACTGATGGACACTCCTGGCCACTGATGGACACTCCTGGCCACTGATGGACCCTCCTGGCCACCGCTGGACACTAGGAATAACAATAGCCTAGCAACAACGGTAGAAGATGTACATACACAAGAACTAATTACCTTCTGCCACCGGGAGTGCACTGAATCCTTGCTGTGACCGAATTAGCCAGACCGAGGTTGTGTCTGTAGATGCACGTGAGACAAGACGCACCAGGAGATGGGGGATGATCATCGTTGCCAGCCCAACAACTATCAAGCAGATGAGGAACGTGAGGAAAGTTCCTGAAGAGGTCCTGCATGCCTTCTTTGCTTTGCTGACAATCCACTGCCCTAGGGACTAATAGCAACAGTTTGAGAACCAATGAAGTCATGAGAGGATGTGTGATTGTGCTAGTAAGGATTAACACCGGACACATTTTGATATCGGAAGTGAAAATAGACAAGTTGACAATAAAGATGGATCTATCGTTGAAACCGACACTGAGATGTCAAGTATAGGGGCTACACATATCCACTAACGTAGAGGTCTCTGCGGTGAAATGGCCAAGTCTTCTGCCTCGCCTTGAGATCGTGGGTTCTTCACACCTCCACTTAAAGGTTAAAGTGAAGTTTGCATTTGTTACAGGGTTCCTGTGAATCGTCGTTGGCGCTATCAAGTTGGTGCGTTGTGTGATGTTCTCGACACACAGCTACCTGTTCTGTGGAAAGAGACTTAGCTGTTCGTGACGAAATCCCATATTATGTAATTAGCCCTCTCTACTGAAAACGTTTACACATATTGAAAACAAAAGGTATACCAGGTGAGACCTATTGCTATTCGAATTTTCTTTCATGACAATTCTGTAAACTCTTGCCTTTCTGTAGCAGCTAGACGCTTATCTTTTGATCCCAAGACTTTTTTTTTTCGAAAATGACCTTGATTTCCATGTCGACCCAGTCTTGAATGGATACCGAGTATAGTCCGGGGAAGTAAAGGTGGTTAGCGAAATGTTGACCCCATCATCCACCGAGCGCCGATTGGTTTATAAAATAGTGGTCTAGCCCTATATGCCCAGTACACTTCAAGGCGTGGAAAAGGGTCCTTTAGTTTATGTGGAAAAGAAGGGGATTCCTGCATTGGACTTTGCAGTCAAAGCCGACACTGCACATCTTCCTGGTCCTAGGTTTTGACGGTTGGCTACAGTCACTCCACCGTGCACCGACTGCTATATATATAACATAATACGACAGACGTGACATACCTCCTACAGTCACTCCACGGTGCACCGACTGGCATATATGACATAATGGGACAGACGTGACATACCGCCTACGGTCACTCCACCGTGCACCGATTGGTATATATGACATAATGGGACAGACGTGACATACCGCCTACGGTCACTCCACCGTGCACCGATTGGTATATATGACATAATGAGACAGACGTGACATACCTCCTACAGTCACTCCACCGTGCACCGATTGGTATATATGACATAATGGGACAGACGTGACATACCTCCTACAGTCACTCCACGGTGCACCGACTGGCATATATGACATAATGGGACAGATGTGACATACGCCTACGGTCACTCCACCGTGCACCGATTGGTATATATGACATAATGGGACAGACGTGACATACCTCCTACAGTCACTCCAAGGTGTACCAACTGGTATATATATCATAATGGGACAGACGTGACATACCTCCTACAGTCACTCCACCGTGCACCGATTAGTATGTATGACATAATGGGGCAGACGTGACATACCTCCTACAGTCATTTCACCGTGCACCGATTAGTATGTATGACATAATGGGACAGACGTGACATACCTCCTACAGTCACTCCACGGTGCACCGACTGGTATATATGACATAATGGGACAGACGTGACATACCTCCTACAGTCACTCCACGGTGCACCGACTGGTATATATGACATAATGGGATAGACGTGACAAACCTGATGCGACAAAGGCCTGACAATATTTTGAATGCAGACAACAACTGACAGACAGTTCACTCGAAATTGTGGGAATATTTTTCTAGATATTAATATTTATTAAACTGTTGGCCATTGCCTACTGTGTGTGCGTGTGTGTTCTTTTTATAGTTATTTTTTCGGTTGACAGTGAAAGCTCGCTAAGACGAATTCCAAGAGATGGAAATCTAGTTTGTGTTAAAACATTTGTACTAACCGGTGATTAATGATAATAATAACAGAACAGTGCTAGTTACCAAATTGTGTTCAGTTCATGTTAACTTAGGTTTAACTGTAGAATATACACGGAGCCGCGGTATTGAAGTGGATCGACTGACGACTACTGGTGCGAAGGTTTTGGGTTCGAACCTACATCATGTCGGGTTATTTTGTTTTTCAAAACTGACCTTGACCCGCAGGAAAATTCAACCTAAACTAGGTACAGGCAATGCCCTGGGAAGTAAATGCGACAGGCATGATATTAAGCACATAACCCACCGTCTATCTCAATGTGTTCCGTATCATTAACATAACTCACCGCAGGTTTTAAATGAGTTTTCTACTTTTTTTAAAATTTTTAAAGGTGTCTGGTTCTGTTCCAGCTGCGAGAGATTTGGAAGCAACCCACATTGCGTTGATTTCTACAGAGTCACCCATAGCCGACCATTCACCGACAATGGCAAACTACTGAATATGAAATCGCCTTGTAAAACCAATTCAGCAAACAAATGCTGGGGTTGGTTCTGCACAGGATACACAACTGGCTTTATCCGAAAATATTTTTATAAATTACCTATCAAGAACAGAAAAACTTGTCACTGAACACTGTACACAACACTCAAAGCACTGTTCACAACACTCAAAACACTGTACACAACACTCAAAACACTGTTCACAACACTCAAAACACTGTACACAACACTCAAAACACTGTACACACAACTCAAAACACTGTACACAACACTCAAAACACTGTACACACCACTCAAAACACTGTACACAACACTCAAAACACTGTACACAACACTCAAAACACTGTACACAACACTCAAAACACTGTACACAACACTCAAAACACTGTACACAACACTTGAAACACTGTATACAGCACTCAAAACACTGTTCACAACACTCAAAACACTGTACACACCACTTGAAACACTGTATACAGCACTCAAAACACTGTTCACAACACTCAAAACACTGTACACACCACTCAAAACACTGTACACAACACTCAAAACACTGTACACAACACTCAAAACACTGTACACAACACTCAAAACACTGTACACACCACTCGAAACACTGTGCACAACACTCAAAACACTGTACACAACACTCAAAACACTGTACACAACACTTGAAACACTGTATACAGCACTCAAAACACTGTTCACAACACTCAAAACACTGTACACAACACTCAAATCTCTGTACACAACACTCAAAACACCGTACACACACTCAAAACACTGTACACAACACTCAGAGCACTGTACACAACACTCAAAACACTGTACACACCACCCAAAACACTGTTCACAACACTCAAAACACTGTACACAACACTCAAAACACTGTACACAACACTCAAAACACTGTACACAACACTCAAAACACTGTACACAACACTCAAAACACTGTTCACAACACTCAAAACACTGTTCACAACACTCAAAACACTGTTCACAACACTCAAAACACTGTACACAACACTCAAAACACTGTACACAACACTCAAAACACTGTACACAACACTCAAAACACTGTACACAACACTCAAAACACTGTTCACAACACTCAAAACACTGTACACAACACTCAAAACACTGTACACAACACTCAAAACACTGTTCACAACACTCAAAACACTGTTCACAACACTCAAAACACTGTACACAACACTCAAAACACTGTACACACCACTCAAAACACTGTACACAACACTCAAAACACTGTACACACCACTCAAAACACTGTTCACAACACTCAAAACACTGTTCACAACACTCAAAACACTGTACACAACACTCAAATCTCTGTACACAACACTCAAAACACCGTACACAACACTCAAAACACTGTACACAACACTCAAAACACTGTACACACCACTCAAAACACTGTACACAACACTCAAAACACTGTACACAACACTCAAAACACTGTACACATCACTCAAAACACTGTACACAACACTCAAAAGACTACTAGAACTTCACATCAAAAGAGATGTCGCCAAACATGAATAATATACGGGTAGCAACAGAACTGGTGTTATCAGACGCGACACGCTGAGATATAAACAGAAGATGGGATTCGAGCGATTATGGCTTTGTGCAATGTGCAATTAGGTTTATTTGTAGATTAACTAACTAACAAACTAGCTAACTGTACACAATCAAATCAGACAGTCCTAGTATGTATTTCCACAGAATTACAATTACTGTTAAACTGGAGTAGGAGAAAACACCCATAGCAGACTCTGTCCGCTAGTCTGTCGCAGGAAAACTAACGTCGCCTAGTGTCACGTGACAAGATCTATAACTGTAGGTAAGCTAGGACTCGCTGCAGGTGGAGGGTCGCCTCGATGATCTGTGGCAATAACTGTCAACGGTATCATAAACACTGTGTCGTCTTTACCCCGGTGTCCATTGTTTACTGATTAATGTTGACCGGAGTGTCGATCGTCAATAAATGTTGTTGCAGATTGTCGATCCTAATGAATGTTGTCGGTGAGTGCCGATCGTTGACTGGTGAATGTTGTTTGGGAGTGTCGATCGTTGACTGGTGAATGTTGTCGGTGAGTGTCGATCGTTGACTGGTGAATGTTGTTTGGGAGTGTCGATCGTTGACTGGTGAATGTTGTCGGTGAGTGCCGATCGTTGACTGGTGAATGTTGTTTGGGAGTGTCGATCGTTGACTGGTGAATGTTGTTTGGGGGTGTCGATCGTTGACTGGTGAATGTTGTTTGGAGGTGTCGATCGTTTACTGGTGGATGTTGTTTGGGGGTGTCGATCGTTTACTAGTGGATGTTGTTTGGGGGTGTTGATCGTTTACTGGTGGATGTTGTTTGGGAGTGTCGATCGTTGACTGGTGAATGTTGTTTGGAGGTGTCGATCGTTTACTGGTGGATGTTGTTTGGGGGTGTCGATCGTTTACTGGTGGATGTTGTTTGGGGGTGTTGATCGTTTACTGGTGGATGTTGTTTGGGGGTGTCGATCGTTGACTGGTGAATGTTGTTTGGGAGTGTCGATCGTTACTGGTGAATGTTGTTTGGAGGTGTCGATCGTTGACTGGTGAATGTTGTTTGGGGGTGTCGATCGTTGACTGGTGAATGTTGTTTGGAGGTGTCGATCGT